CTGATCTGACAATGGAAAAGAAGGAGTTCAAGAAAGGTATGACCTCAAAGATCTAGACTAAGGAATCTATGGTGGTAAAAGCAACTTCTATAAAGTTCACCACCAAGAAGAAACTAAAAGAGGAGGAAGCCCCAAGTCAATATCCAAACGAGGAGAGGCGACGTCCAACCTTGAAGGAGTTAGAGGCAACAGTCTATCCATTTCCAAATTCAGATGTACCTTTGATTCTTGATGAATTGCTAGCTAAGAAAATTATTGATCTTCATGAATCAAAGAGGCACGAAGAAAACAATAAGGTCGGTAATCCTAGATACTGCAAGTTCCATTGCGTCTTTCTCCCCCCGACAAGTAAATGCTTTATCTTAAAGGAGAAAATCATTGACCAGGATGAAACAGCGGAGGCAAATCATGCTAGTGTAGCACCAAATCAAAAGAAGTGCTCAAGGTCCAATTTCTTGCAATTCGGAAGTTTAACTCCTATTGAAGTTGATTTTCCAAGGAAAACTCTTGAAGGTTCACTAGAGAGAGACAACCACGAAGAAAATGAAGTTGAAGCTTGAACTTTGGTTACTTAAAAGAAGCGAAGACACCAAGCAGTTCTTAGGATACGACATCCTAAGACAAGAGCAATAAGGAGTGATATGAATCAACTACAGCCACCAAAAAGCGTTAAGCCTTGTACTAGCCAAAAGATCAATGGTTCTTTATCGCAGAAGGTTCGAAGGCCCATTACATTAAAAGAATTCTATCCTGAAAAATTCTTTTGCGGTAGTTAAATTGGTGCAACACACGTTATTTCCAGCACAGACGAAACAAAGGAAAGCAAAGGCAAGCATAATCCAGCAATAACACAAGACCATCAAACTGATGAAAAAGTTTCCCTATGTTGTTCTGGAACTGCCTTTATAGATGATGACTTATTGGTAGGGTCTAAGCTATATAACAAACCTTTGTTTGTTGTAGGATATATTCGGGAACAACATCTCATCGCATACTAATCGATGGTGGTTCGGTAGTCAATATCATGCCAAAAGTTATTCTGAAAAAACTTGGGATCTCTATTGTTGAATTGTCCAAAAGTAACCTAACGATCCAAAGTTTCAATCAAGGAGGACAACGATCAATAGGAAAGATTCGCATAGGGTTGTCCATTGGTGACGTGAAATCAAGCACTTTGATTCATGTCACAAATGCCAAAACATCATACAACTTGTTGCTCGGACGTCCTTGGGTTCATGAAAATGGAGTGGTGTCATCTACTTTGCATCAATGCATGAAGTATATGAAAGATGGTGAAGTACTCAAAATTGATGCAGACATCAATCCTTTCATTAAGACAGAGTCATATTTTGCAAATGCAAAATTCTATTTAGATTCTGGAATATCAAATATGGAGAAACATGCGGAAGCCAACTCGATCGATCTAGAAGATAGTAAAGTTCAATGGGCTGCTCTCAAGATGTCTAAGAAGAGAACGGAAGAGGTTTCCATTAAGCTTTCACCTTCTAAAGGAGACATGAAGACCAATATTGATGATGAGCAACCAATATTTTGTTATATCTCACGTGAACATCGAAAAAAGGGACAACCACAGCTAGAGGAATGTACTCCACAAGTTCACCCACCGAGGAATGAATTGTGTCACACAATATTTCATGATTTGAAGGAGAAAATGATTGTCCCAGTTGCACAAGTCCCGTCTTTCACTTTGGATCCTTCCAAAGGAAATACCCAAGTTGGTCAGATAAAAGGGAACTTTATTCAAAAGGTCTTCATATTATTTGAAAAATCAGGTTACCACTTCTCAAATCCAGCAAAGTTAGGTGAATTCACGGAGGAAGTTACCGGTGAAAAGATACATGGGCTTACAAAGTCTCAAATGCGGTTGAGAAAACAAGGATAATATGTCTCTACTCTTAAGTTTGGGTTAGGACTCAGCTTGTCGGAGCCTCTTTGTATTTCATCTAACAAGGGGAAAGAAATAACTTCATCCCCCTACACCTCTATAGAAAAGACAAAGGAATCTAAGGAGGGTAAAACACCACGACGATCTTCGGTGTTTGAACGCATTGGAAGATTGACACCCCGTGTCTTTGCATTTGAAAGATTGGGTCGCAAGGATGAAAGAGGATCCTCTAAATAAGTGGCCGAATATGCCACCACCTTAGAGACTTTTGTATTTAATCACTTGTGAACCAACAGAAAGTCATTATCCGAAAGGAGGTTGTTGGAGCATGAAAATCAAGATCCTTGTGATGTAACTGATGACAAAGAGATTCATAGTGTTTTCCCATCACGTATGAAGAGAAATGATGTAGTTTCAATCACTACTGATGGTTCTTTGAAGGTGAAAAGAAGCACAATTGTTGTCACCTACTAGTTTCATGGAGAAACTAAGAAAGAGGAAAATGAAGACATCAAAGTCTTCGTGGGAAGCTAGATGAAAGATTCAAACTTGACACAACCATCCTATCACATAACAGTGGAAGAAGGTCCAAACATTGATGATACCTATGATAATGTCCAAGAGGCTCCCCCTCAACTAGAGGATGTCGTACAATCAACCATAGACGACCTCAAGGAACTAAATCTAGGCACTCTAGAAGATCTATGTCCAATATTCATTAGTGCACTTCTTACACCAGAAGAAGAGAGGAAATACTTCAAGTTTTTGGTTGAGTTCAAAGGCATTTTTGCTTGGTCATACAGAGAAATGTCGGGCCTTAGTCCCAGGATAGCTATTCATCATTTGGGGATAAAAAATGGAACACGTCATATAAATTAGTCACAACGAGTGTTTCACCCTGAGTTGGTAACACAAATTGAAGTGGAGGTCAACAAGCTCATCGAAGCTAGATTTATCTGAGAAGTGAAGTACCCATTGTGGATCTCAAATATTGTACCTGTTAAAAAGAAGAATGGTCAAATACGTGTTTGCATTGATTTTCGAGATTTGAACAAGGCATGCCCGAAAGATGACTTCCTTTTGCCAATTATTGATCTCATGGTTGATGCTACAACTAGGCATGAAGATGTGTTATTTATGGATGGGTCTTCTGGATAAAATCAAATCAGAATGTCTCCAAAAGATGAAGAATACACTGCCTTCCAAACTCCAGAAGGGATTTATTGTTACAAAGTGATGCCCTTTGGTCTAAAGAATGTTGGAGCCACCTATCAGCGTGCAATGCAAAACATATTTGCTGACATGCTTCATAAGAGGGTGGAATGTTACGTCGATGACTTAGTGTTAAAGACGTAGCAAAGGGAACACCATCTTGAAGACCTTCGAATTGTTTTTAAAAGGTTAAGAAAATTTGACTTGAAGATGAATCCACTCAAATGTGTATTTGGGGTTTCCTCAGGAAATTTTCTTGGCTTTATTGTGCGTCACCGTGAAATTAATGTTGATCCTGCAAAGATTGATGTCATTCAAAAAATGCCTAATCCAAAGAACTTGAGAGAGCTCCGCAGTCTACAGGGGAATTTGGCATTTATTCAGAGATTCATTTATAACCTGGCTGGACGATGTCAACCCTTCAACCATTTAATGAAGAAAGATGCTTCTTTCAACTGGGACCAATCATGTCAAAATGCTTTTGAAAACATCAAAAGATACTTGTTGAATTCACCTGTATTAGGGGCACCAACTCCTGGAAAGCCATTGATACTATACATTGCATCGCAAGAGAGATCACTTAGGGAATTTATTGCCCAAGAGAATGAAGCTAAGAAGGAACAAGCACTGCACTATCTGAGTCGGACCATGATAGGAGCTGAGTTGAATTATAAACCCATTGAGAAGATGTGCTTAGAATTGCTTTATGCGATAAAAAAGTTGAGGCACTATCAAGCTAATTTCTCTGGCAGATCCCGTGAAGTTCGTATTGACTCGACCTGTTCTCTCAGGACTTCTAGCAAGATATTCTATATTGTTTAATCAATATGAGATCATACACACACCCCAAAAGGCTGTGAAGGGGTAAGCACTTGCTAATTTCCTTGCTGATCACCCTCTTTCGAGAAAATGGGAAACTTCAGATGACTTTCCTAATGAAGATTCATTTTTACTGAAGAACTACTAACATGGACAATGTTCTTTGATAGATCTACACATCCAGATGGTATAGGGGCGGGAGTCGTGTTGATATCTCCAGAACGACTAATCTTACCATTTTCATTTGTTCTAAGTGAAACATATTCCAACAACGCTGCAAAGTACCACACTTTGGTTGTGGGCCTTGAGATGGCATCATAAATGAAGATTCCTCAATTGGATATCTACAGTGACTCTCAATTGATCATCAATCAACTCTTGGGGAGTTATAAGGTAAAGAAGGGAGATATTTTGTCATATCACCAATATGGTACTTTCTTAATTTAGAGGTTTTATCAAGTGTTCTTAAATCACGTCCCAAGAGAAGAAATTCCATGATGGATGTTTTGGCTAACTAGGCCACAACAATGGCACTCAGAGAAAATGAGACTACAAATGTGCGTGTATGTCATCGATGGGTTATCCCTGGTTGTCTTGATCTTCAAATCAATGAAAGCCATCATATATCTGTTATAGTGGTTGAAGAAGAAGATTGGAGAAAACCATTGATTGAGTATCTTGGACATGGAAGACTGCCTGAGGATTCACGAGTAAGAGCAGAAATTAAGAGAAGGGCACCACAATTCATCTTTCACGAGGGAATACTGTTTCGTCATTCTTATTAGGGAATATTCTTGCGGTGTCTTGACAAAGAAGAAGCTCAACAAACAATGGAGGAGGCATACTCTGGCACATGTGGAGCACACCAATCAAGGCCTAAACTTCATTTCCGCATCAAAAGGATGGACTTCTTAGAGCATGCTAAAAAGTGTCAAGCGTGTCAATTCCATGCTAATTACATCCATCAATCTCCAGAGGATCTGCATCCAACTGTAGCCTCATGGCCTTTCGATGCATAGGGACTTGATGTTGTTGGACCTCTTCCAAAGTTGTCAAAAGGAAAATGTATATCTTGGCTGCTACTGACTATTTCTCTAGATGGGCTGAACTTGTATCATTAGAAGAGGTAAAGAAGGAAAATGTTATTGATTTTATCAAATCAAACATATTTTTTATATATTGCATACCAAGATGTATAGTTATTGATAATGGAACACCTTTCAACAATAAACTCATGAGTAGTTTGTGCAAGAAGTTCAGTTTTAAGCAACATAAGTCTTCAATGTACAATGCACCTGCCAACGGTCTTGCTGAAGCTTTTAACAAGACACTTGGTAACCTGTTGAAGAAAGTAATTGCAAAGAATAAAAGGGACTGGCATGAGAGAATTGGTGAAACTTTGTGGGCATATCGTACAACCTTTAGAACGGCTACGCAAGCGACTCCGTTTTCATTGGTGTATGGCGTAGAAGCAGTCCTTCCGTTAGATAAGCAAATTCCATCATTGCAAATAGCAGTCCAGGAGGGACTTACAACTGAAAGTAACATTCAACTTCGTCTAGCAGGGATGGAGGCATTGGATAAGAAGAGATTGGAAGTACAACAAAGGTTGGAGTGTTATCAAGCTCGACTTGCAAGAGCATTCGACAAGAAGGTGTGACCTCCATCATTTCAAGTGGGAGACTTGGTCTTAGCAATCCGGAGACCCATAATCCTCAACAAACGCATCGATAAAAAATTTACAGCAAAATGGGATGGGCTGTATGTTTTGAAGGAAGCATATTCAAGTGGCGCTTATAAAATTGTAGCCCAAGGGTGTAAGAGTTGGTCCAATCAACGCCAAGTTTCTGAAGAAATATTTCCCATGAAGGTTGCCTATGCTCCTTAATGTATGAGCATAAACTGCATGGTACTTCTGGCCCGCAAGAGTATAAACTGTGTACGACCCTAAAAAAAACTGAAATAAAATAAATAAAACTCATCATCTTGAACTACGACATGACTTGATCCTCTTCACTGAGGTACGTATGCACTTGGAGTAATCACTCTAAGCCCAGTCAAATGAGAAAAAAAAAAGATTTGGTGGCATTGTGTGATCATCGCACTAGCTCTTTAAAATCATGTAACTTGCACATGAGTTCAAATGCATCACTAATGAGCAAAGGAGAAGATTCTTGAAGCCCTCTCCGCAACAAAAGAAGAAACTCGTAAACAGAAACTCCTACATCGAGTCATGGATCTTCAACTATGATCGTTCAAAGTTGCATATCAAACATGCTAGATCTGGAAGTCAACTTCGGGTATTAATCTAATCAATTCAAAAGGAATTTTGATTTGAATTTTTGATATGCGGCAGGCTGATGAATTCCACTGGTTTTGGATCAAGCGACTTGCGATTCAACTTGACTTTTTTTTTTTGCTTGCGGTAGAGATAATTTTGTGTAGTTCACTGATGCTTCAGTAAATTACTCAAAATTAGGGGCATCTGTACCTATAACATCAAATCGGGATATCCTTCGGATCAAAGCTCTATGTTGAAATGGTTTACCCGCAAAGATCATGATGTGAACGCTCTAAGTTCAAGAGACAATTTTTTGTTGTTGTGAAGAGCGCACAGAGTTGAGGAATTGTCATTCTGGGAGAATAGTCAACTTGAAAAATTTATTCTCATCAAATTGGAGTGAATTTTGTTGTAACTTCTACAAATAGTGTTGTTCTTGATATGCTCGTCATAATGAGATAAGAATCTCATAGTTTCATCACGCTTACATCGAATTTTGGATTTCACACCAAAGACTGTTCCTCAAATTGAAACAAGAATCTCATTGTCTCAGAATTTAAGCTAACTTTAAAAATTACATCAGTACTAATCTGGAAAGCTTTTGGTTGCGTTTTTTACATATGTTGTACGTATGTGAGTTATTCTTCCAACGGAGCAAGAATCGCATCATTTCAAGGTTCGTACGCCGAGTTATTGATTTTTTCCCAAAGTTGCTCAAAGCTGAAAAGTTGAACGAGATAGAATTTGAGCTAAGTTTAAAAATACATCTGTACTAATCTGGAAAGCTTTTGGCCGTGACTTTTACATATGTTGTACGCCTATGAGTATGCTTCCAACGGAACAAGAATCACATCATTTCAAGGCTCCTACGCCGAGTTATTGATTTTCTCCCAAAATTGCTCAAAGCTGAAGAGTTCAGGGAGACAGAATTCGAGATAACTTTGAAAATATATCTGTACTAATCTGGAAAGCTTTAGGCCGTGATATTTATATATGTTGTAGTTCTATGAGTTATTCTTCCAACGGAATAATAATCGCATCATTTCGAGGCTCCTACGCCGAGTTATTGATTTTCTCCCAAAGTTGCTCAAAGCTGAAGAGTTGAGAGAGGCAGAATCGTGAGCTGACTTTGAAGCGATAAATGTACTAATCCAGAAAGTCTTTGGCCGTGATTTTTATACATTGTGTAGTTCTTTGAGTCTCTTTCCAACGGAAGAAGAAAATCGTGATTTCAATACTCCTACTTTGAGTTATAAATTTTATAATATAGACGCGTGAAACTGAAATGCCGAGAAAGACAAAATTGTGACCTGACTTTGAAGCAATATTTGTAATAATCCATATAGTCATTGGCCGTGATTTTTACACATACTGTAGTTATTTGAGTTTTTGTCCAACGAAACAAGAAGCTCATGATTTTACTACTCCTACTCCAAGTTATGAATTTTCTACCATAATCGTGCAAAGCTCCGAAAGAGATATCAAAATTCAAAAGCAACTTCAGAATTTAATCCTGAACAATGTGGAAGAAATTTTGATATGAAACTTTGACATATTGTAAGACATTGAGTTTTATCTCTCTTGGATCAAGAGTATTGCAATTTCATGGCTCCCACATTCGAAAATAAATATATTTTAAAAGATGTGCAAAGTTGGAATCACAAAGTGTAAGGAATTCGAGCTTCATGTGCCTCCCAAGAAGTCAGAAGATAGGTCCAAGATTTTCTCCAAATTGAGAGGAAGATGTCAATCCACACTACATCTTGAATAATGGGATTATCCGCAATCTAGTTCGTTGATGTTTGGAGGCCTACACCAAATGTTTCTCTCGTCATCCTCACGTCAGGTGCTTTCTCGTCAGAAATGAAATGAAAGTACTCCAAATGTTTCTCTCGGGGAGCCGCAAAAAAGGGATGAAAATGGAGGTGGCAAGTTTTCTTTACCAAGGCTACAAGAAAGGTGAATGCGTCGAGTGAGTTTTCTGCCAACATTGCTAGGAAGAGATGAGTGGTTCCACGCCAATCATATGAACAACTCGTGCAACTTCGAAGTGATTTAGGCTCTTTTGAAACCTGAAATGAAAAAAAAATATTGGAGTCATCGGTGCCAACTGCACTAATTTTTCAATTTTTCTTGGTTGATCTACTTATGATAACACATGTAGTAAGTGCATGACCCTTTAATATGGCATGACAAACATGACCAGCAGTACAACAATGTTGTTCGACATAGCAGTGCCAATAACACGAAGCTCTGAATTACGGCCAAATTGGATCTTGAACATCAATCTCCTGTTCTTAAGAAACATTTCAATACATAAATAAAGATCAACCACAACCATTATCTTCAATAAAGAGAAACAAGAAAATCCAACAGACACAAATCTGTGAGGAAATCAGCAAAATTTGAAGACCAACTTCAAAAAAAAAAATCATTTTTTGTCAATTCAAGAAGAGTTTGAGATGGGTTTTCGGATATACCGTATTAATAAGAGTCTATTTTCTTAAGAATCAACCCTCTCGTCATTTGAAAGCTCCTACACAAAGAAAATGATGTTTTGGTGGGACTATCCATAGCTGTGAGAAGAACTGCCGGATTTGGGGTCCAACTTCAAAATTTGATTCCCATAGATCCAGAAGGCTTCTAATGTTGATTTTTGGATATGTCGTATTACTAGAAGTTTAGTTTCTCCAGAGTCAAGCCGCTCATCGTTTGAATGCTCCTACACCAAGAAAATGATGTTTTGGCGAGATTGCGCATAGCTGTGAGAAGAACTGCCAGATTTGGGATCCGACTTCAGAATTTGATTCCCGTCAATCTGGAAGTTTCTAACGTTGATTTTTGGATATTTCATCGTACTAGAAGTCTAGTTTCTCCAGAATCAAGTCTCTCATCGTTTGAATGCTCATACACTAAGAAAAGGACATTTTGGCGAGATTGCACATAATTAATAGAAGAATTATCAGAGTTGAAGACCAACTTCAAAGATTAATTCCTGTTAATCCCAAAGGTGTTTAATTCTAATTTTTGGATAGGTCGCAGTACTAAAAATCTCGTTTCTTCCAAACCAAGCCGCTCGTCATTTGGACATTTCTACCCTAAGAAAACGAGATTTTGGTGGGACTGCACGAAATTGAGAATAGAAGACACCAAATTTGGAGTTCCACATTGATTTGGTTAGGAGAATTATTTTTTTCAATGATTCTCTGATCAATCCTTTGTACATGGGACATTCTTATATAGAAGTTCCTTTGAACAATTTTCATTCCTTGTACAAAGAAAGCTTTGGTAAAATTGGAAGAAGGAAATCATATCAATTCTTACTCATCTAAATGGAAGTTTCTAGCACTACAAAGGAAAACAATAAGTCTTAAGATTTCAAGAATGATTCTTACAAAATCAAGCAAAGGAAAGAAAATTTGGTGTGATTATTAAATTACCAATTGTTTCCAAGTTTAAGGTTTGCAAAATAGAAGAAGAAGAAGCAAATCGATCAAGTTATGTTCTTTTATTTAAAATTCAACTTTGAGGACTTGTGTGACACTGTAAGTGTTGGTGTCCAAATTTGTATTCAAATCTATGGTGAAAGTTTTTTTTTTTTTTTTAATATAAAATTCATACAACTTTGACACATTGATTTGCTTATCCCTATCAAGAGAGAGTCCACCATATCATCCCTCGAATGAATTGAAATAACAAAACTCCTTAGGAGCACATCAAAATGGAGTTGCGCATGACCTTACTATGCAACTTGTTTCATCGCAAGAAATGGAATCAAGCAAATGTCTTAAGAGTGATATCGTTGGACTCATGAAGACTTCAACTCTCGTTGTCAAATTCGGCAAGCCTACAAGTTGACAAGTCTCAAAAAAGGAAAACACATTCATGAAGACTTCAACTCTCGTCATCAAATTCGACAAGCCTACACATTGACAAGTCTCAAAAAAAGGAAACCACATTCAAGAAGATATCAACTCTCGTCGTCAAATTCGGCAAGCCTACACGTTGACAAGTCTCAAAAAATGAAAACACATTCATGAATACTTCAAGTCTTGTCGCCAAACTTCGGCAAGTCTACACGTCGACAAGTCTCGTAGTAAAGGGCATTTGTAGATACATAAATTGTATTGGATCAAATTCATACAAAATTTGAATTAAATCCATGTTCATTTGGGCTGAATGATTAATTTGGGATTTACAAATAAATAAGTCCATCTTGTTAAATTCAAATACAAGGTCCATTTCACCTTGAAGCCCAAAACTCATGCCACGTGTCACAATGACTAGGCATCCAAGACCAAAAAGGTGAAGCCATATGTCCAAATGAGGTGGCAGTCACAGTCAAATGCGAGAACCAATCACAATCCGCCAAGTGTCAA